GCGAGAGACAGAGAAAAATGAGAGAGAGCGACAGCAAAAAAAGAGAGGGTTAGAGATAGATAGAGAGCGAGAGAGAGTGAGAGAAAGAGAGAGAGACAGAGCATTCTCATCCCCTGTCATACTCCCTTTAAAATCAAAAATCCCCAACGACAGCCCCGCAGGCTAAAAGCTCAATAAGCGGAGCCGGGGAGGTCGGGTTGAGGCGCCCCAATTTTAAAGTAAACATGTGGCACGGCTGCTTTCCGTGTATTTCAATCTATTCCTCTTCTCTCTCTCTCTCTCTCTCTCTCTCTCTCTCTTTGTCTCTAGCCCCTTGAAAAAGCCCAATTCAGCGGAGGGGGCCTATAAAGGTTTTTTGGAAGGTGCAAGGCAGGAGAACAACAAGGGGCTACGATGAAAATTATGGACATCAAAAATCGCTGTGGCAGGCTAGCAGAGATCCTTCAGGAAGCGAGTAGGATAGCAGAGATCAGTGAGGAAGTGAGAGCATGCTAGCAGAGATTTTTGAGGAATCGAGGGAAATCTACCAGATATCAATAAGGAAGCAGAGGGCAGGCTAGCAGAGATCCTTGAGGAAGTCAAGGCAGCCTAGCAGAGACCTTTTGTGGATTTACGACTCTCTAAAGCCGGTCCACGATACGGTAAGCGCTATTGAGTGAATATCAAGAGAATGGATATTTGAGGCCAAATAAAAGGGCCCAGGGCCCAGTGGGACCTTAGCTAAGGACCCAGCTAGCGGCTACGTTGTTTGCCTGTTTACTCCGCCCCGTCCGTTCCGAGGCGTTCTGCTGACCACAAAGGGGGTCCCGATACGGCCCCCGTGGAGAGACGGCTGAAAATAAATATAGCGTATTATTGAGGAGCTGGGGAAGAGGGAGAAGCCGGCTAAATTTGGCTTCCGAATTAATTAATCAATAATGAGGGATAAAACTAATTTTAATAAACCAAAGGAAATTTCAGGGTATTTGAAATCGCTGCAAAATAAGTTTCGACAAAATTAATTTAGAAATGCTAATTTCTGTCAGAATTTTCGACAAATTTAAACCTTTAAAAGCCATAAAAATTCCCAAAACTTGGCAAAACTAGCAAAATTGTTGAAAATATGCGTCTGCTTAGGCTTAGGCTTGGCTTGGCTTGGCTTAGGCTTGGTATAAGCTTGGCTTAGGCTGGGCTTACGCCTGGCTCAAGCTTGGATTAAGCCTGGCTTAGGCTTACTAGCGGATGGCTTCCAACTTACTCATCGAGCTTCGACTTGAAAACAGGTGAGCTTATAGAGCTTGAGCTTGACCCCGGAGGCTGCTAAAGAGGCTAACAAAGCGGCAGGCAGCTTAGGCGGCTGAGATAAACAAGCTTAGGCTTGGCATTTTGCGCGTAATGTCCCTGCCGCCCCTGAACGGACGTGGGCAGAAGCACCCTCCCAGGCACCCCTCCGGCAGCGAAGCGTGGCCGCGAGGTAGAGCTTAGGCTTGCAAGCACCTTAGGTCGTGGGTTCAATTCCGGCCACCACTTTGGAAACAACTTTGGAAGCGTTTTGCTCAAATTCACCTGCATTATTAGGCTTAGTGGGCTTTGAGCGGAAGCGGAAACGACAGGCGGCGGGGAAGACTCGAAGCTGAAGGAAGGACTTGCTTGGTTCATAGACAGGTCCCAGGAGCTTTTCCCAGCTGCGGCATACGGGCTTCGCTACAGCATCGTAAAACAAGCGGAACGCAAAGCTTGGCAAAAGCTTGGAAAGTTTTTTCAAAAAGTTGGTGGCCGGAATAGAAGCAAACGGCGGAAGCAGAACACTCAGGCAAACAGCTTAGGCTTGGCTGGAAGAAACGAAAGCAGGCGGCAGGCCTTGGCAGGAAGCGGCGGGAAAGGCAGGCTTTTTGAAGCAGAGCTTGGCTTAGGCTCTGGCTTAGGCTTGTGAAAAGAAGCAGCAGGCTTGCCTTAGGCTTAGGCTTGGGCTTAGCGGAAGGCTTGGCTTAGGCTTAGGCTTGGCTTAGGCTTGGCTTAGGCTGGGCCGATGCTTAGGCTTAGGCTTAGGCTTACCCCTTGCCAATCCATTTAATCAGAACAAGCTACAGTACCCCATGACCGAAATTCCATACCTCAATTTCGTAAAAAGCCAGGCCCCTCCCCCCGTTTTTCCGGAGTTTTCGAATTCAAACGCAAATACACATTTTGCTTGTGGTGGACCCGGGGCAGCAAAAAGGGAAAGTTGGGCGCCGCGGTAAAAAGGCAAAAAATGGCGCCAAAAACGCCCGGGACACAAAGGCCAAGTGGGAAAATAGGGGAGCGGAGGGGGCGATGGACCCGATGCACTTTTGATTACGTGAAAACGAATTTAAGCAAAGGCCAACTAGCGGAGGTTATTTAGGAATCGGGAAATCTGGATGAGCAGTGAGCTAGCTGAAATTATGGCGGAATTTTAGGAATTCGTAGTATTCTAAGTCTAAGCCTAAGGATAAGCCTAAGACCCTTCCGGCCTTTGTAGCCGACCAGGACAAGCTAAGTTGAGATCATCTAGGAATTTGTAAGACACGCTAGAGCGGGCAAGCTAGCAGAGATCCTTCCGGAATTTAGAAGTTAGACGACGCCAACCAGGGCAAGCTAGCAGCTAGCAGGAGCTAGCAAAATTATTTTGAAATAGATTAGAAGTTAGTCCAGGGCAAACTGGCACAGATTTTTTAGGAATTAACAGGCTAGGCTAGGCAGGGCAATCTAGCAAAGAATGTTCAGGATTTTACAGGCTAGACTAGCCGGACAAGCTAGCGGAGATCCTTGAGGAATTATAGGATCCGCTGTTCAGGGCAAACTAGCATAGATTTTTTAGGAATCAAAAGGCCAGACGGCAAGGGGCAAGCTAGCAGGGGTTATTTAGGGCCTGGCAAGGCAAACGATTTTAAAACGATAAAAGAAGAGGGCAACCCGGCAGAGATCCTTCAGGAAATGACAGCTGGCAGTGTTTCTTAGGGATTCCCCGAAATCCCGCTGAAGAAGCTATCAGTTTTCCTAGGAATTTCCGGGAGGTTCAGCCAGGCAAACTAGCAGAGAATCTTATAGATTTCCCGGAGGCCCAGCTCAAGTAAAGTAGCACGGCAGGCTAGCAGGGCCGTTTTCGGAATCCACCACTTCCAGGACGCTTCAATATCCCCTAGCTAAAGACCTCCCCAAATCCCGGATCAATACATACAACAATTCGTGGTGGGGGGCTTGTTGACCTTGGCCCCGCCCGGCTAGCCAACGCCCCCCTTATGATGATTTAAGATATTTAAGCAAATTAGGGTTCTCTGGGCGCTCTCGGGAATACGCAGTCTATCTCTGTCTACGTGTCTGATCTCTCTCTCGCCCCTAAATCCCAACCCCTAGGTCCATCCAGCCGCGACGAGGGGGGGCTGCCCCCAGCCCTACCCCAGCTGACCTCCAATAAATAAATATATTATGAATAGGGAGAGAGAGAGAGAGCGAGAGGGATAGAGAGAGAGAGCCAGCCACGCTACGCTCCCCAAAATATCGATCCAATTTTATTAGGCCAGCAGGGGTGGAGGATGAAATTTTAGATGAGGGCGCCTTTTAGGGGGCGGCCACAATTTTGGTGCCCGATGCCAAAATTTTCCGTAATTTATTATCGAAAGAAAAGAAGCCTATCAAATTTATCCGATCACCGGAAGACTGGCGAGTCAATCTCTTCTTTTTCTGTTTACAAAGTGTCCTCGGACCCGGTGGCCGGGCAGCTGACGCCGATTTTTGCACACGAACAAAACTGTAGCGGTTTTTTATGGGGGTAGGACGTTAATGAAAACTACAACGCTAATTAGTAAACACGAGCAAACGCCGTTGTAACTCTAACTCAACCATCACCTGCGAGAAGCCGGCGTATTAGCGACGAGATGACGAAAAATTCGATTACGCCGTGAAATTGCGTCGAATTCTGAAGAAAAGGGTTACAAAGATAAGTTCTCCCAAATCTCAAAAAAGGCCGCTTTTTTACTAGAAAGTCTCACTGATTACAAACATAAATCATTTATTTACAAAGCGAAACACCGATTACGGGGGAAAATTCTATAAAATCCATCCGGACATCTTGAAAAATTTCGTCGTTTCCACCATACGCCTCTAGACACATCCGGTTGCGGCTTCAATCCATCTATCTATTCATTAGCTTTACACCCCGGTTCCCAAAACCCCCCCTTTCTTCTTCCTTTCCTTTTCTCTTGTCGGGCTGAAGGTCGTTGGAGTTGTAAAAGATCGGGAGGGTCTCCTTGTAGACCCGCGGGTAGAGGGAAGCTGTAATAAATGTAGTCCCCCCGGTACTGCTTTAAAAGTGGCTGGTGGGGGAATTTTTGGAATTTCCGGAAGTTGGGTTCTTTTTGACCACACGCTGGGGATAAAGCCACGGTAAAGCGTGAAAATACCGACATGCAAAATCCCGACCGTCAAAATCCCGAAAATCGAAAATCATGACGGCGATAATATCAATATCGATCGCAAAAATCTCGACCTGTAAAAATTTTGGGAGCGATAACACCGACACAAAACCAAAATCGGAAGGCAAAAATCCACTGATCAAAACCCCGACGCTAAAATACCGAACCCGAAAATCCCGATAGAATCCCGACATGCCAAACATCTGCAAGCCAAAATATCGCCAACTATGATCCCGAAATTTCAACTCCGAAAAGCCGGTAAGCGAAATGTGAAAATATCGACGTTCCAAATCCTTACAATCAAGACCGAAACCCCGGTAGACCGACAGAAAATACCGACAGGCTAAAACTATCGGCTTCGAGCTTAAAATACGGTTTTTTTTGTTCGTGCCGGGATTTTTCGTGTCGGGATTCTGGCACGAATTAAAAACAGCACTGTCTGAACCGGAAATGATTCGAAAATTGGAATGAATAGAATAACTGCAAATAATTTGAATCACAACGGTGAATAGTTTAGGAAAACTAAAAAATCCAAGTATTCCCCCCATTTTATACTTGTTCAATCTTTCCGACGAACTTCCACATAGCATGACCGTGTTTATGATCATCCTCAATGGTAGGGAATTTGTTTTTGCCCCCCTTCCCCGTTAACCGCCCAGTACCGCTTCACCCTTGCAGTTCTCACCCCGTCGGTGGCCCTGCTGCTCGCCATCGGCTGCAACAAGAAGGAGCGCATGCTGTATGAGCAGCAGAAGCAGAAGGAGTTTGCCGATGAGCAAGGTGGCAGCTAAGCAAAAGCTCTAAAATCAAAGTTTACTCGCTTAATTTGGTGCTTTCGCATTAATTCGGGGAACTAATTATTGGATTAGAAAAATTTAAAATTTGAGGGAAAAACGCTATTTTTTTGTATTGTTTTAATCGAAATTGGTCGAGTTTTTGCGCTTAGCAATAGTAAAACGAGCGTATTTTGTTATTATTAAACCCCTTTCCCTATTTATATTTTAAAAATTGAATCCTCCCCCAAATTCCCCGATAATGCGCAAGAACCTATAAAATCTAGAGCGCCGCAAAAAGGTGCCGCCCCGCGTCCGCGCCCGCCAGCAGATCAAGGGCGAGCTGAGCAGCCGCAGCAAGAAGGCGAAGAAGAAGGGCGGCCAGTCCGACCGCAGCTCGAAGCGCAACGTGCTCGTCTCCCCGCTCACCAAGCCGCGTCTCGACGGCGCCTCGAGCGGGTCGCGCCGATCGCGGCTTCACGACTTGATGCGCGAGCACAAGATTTCGCCGTTGGTCATCTACCAAATACCGAAAATCCCGTTTAGCAACGCTCGTCCATCGGATGTATCTTCGGAAAAGCTGGCAAAAGCTAGGTAAAAGCTGCGGTACTGGGCTGTTAGCGGGGGGTGGGTTGCCCTGAGTTCCCAGTAATTAAATACACGCAATTTATAGCTCTTTAAAGCATTGATAAGCAGAAAAGTTAAAAAATTCTTAAAAATTTGAAAAAATTGCGATTTATTGCCAAAAATTTGTGAATTTTAGACTCTCTAGACTTTTTAGTAACCAAAAACCACTGTTAAAAACTAAGACTAATACCAGATCCCCTGCTAACCGCACCCTCCCCCCCGCTAACAGCACAGTACCAAAAATCACTTAAAAATTTGTTGCTCCACGTTTTAGAGCCGAAAAGAAGGAGAAATCGGAGAGTGCCCGCCGGATGAAGGAAGCCGCTGCTAAAAAGTGGGATTTACTAGCAGTCCTAAAAAATTCTACTTAAACTTTCTGCAAAAATTTTCAAAAAATTTACACTTGAAATTCGACCATTTCCGGCCCGCCGACGCCTCGGGCAGCGGCCGCGATTCGGAGCGGAAGAAGAAGGAGAAGCCGGAAGACAAGGACAACTCGAAGAAGGAAAAGAGCGGCAGCTCCAAGAAGGTCACCACCGCCCGCGTACCTGCCGCAGATGTTGGATAGAATCAAGTTAAAAAATGCCCCTTTTAGACGTCGAATCGCAGCCAGAAAAAGAAGGCAGAGAGCAAGTGAGACTTTCTGAAATTTCCAAAATTTTGAATCCTCTACAGAGCCGACAACAGCAACAAGTCGAGCTCCGGGCGAGGCGACAAGGGTTCTACTAAGGATGGCGTCAGTTTTTGCGGTGCTTTTGCTTTATCGGGGGGGGCTTCCGCACTCCAATTTCTAATAAAAGTGGAACTAAGCTATTTTTTACTATTCCAAAACGTAAAAACTATACAAATTTTCGACTAAAAACGATCGATTTTCGATCAAAATTTTCACAAGAAAGTTTTTATAAGTCTTCTTTTTTGTCTAGTATGGCATTTGAAATCGTGTTAAATTTTGTTAAACATGCCATTTCAACAAACTTCGAAGCAAAATTTCCGATTTTCGACCAAAACTGAGCTTTCTAGGGTTTTTTTTTAATTTTAGAGGCTGCTAGCAAATTTTGGCTTAAAAGACCCCCCTCGATAATGGAAGAGAACCGTTTTCCATGAAAAATGCTAAAATCACTTTCAGTCCTGCAAAACGGCGAGGACCGGAAGCCGCGATAAGGCGGTAGATGGTTCGGGCAAGGGCTCAAAGCGGGGCTCGCGCGAGAAGGCCGACGGATCAAGCCGTGACTCGAAACGCGGATCCCGTGAAAAGGCCGATGGGTCCACGAAGACGGCTAGGTGAAAACATCTACACTCAATAAAAACAATCCTGCCAGGTCCCAGCCGGCTGCCGCAAAGAAGGTCGGCTCGAAAGAGGGCGTGAAGCCGAAGGGCCAAGCCGATTCCTCGAATTCGTCAAAAAGAAATGTAGGTCCGGCTGTTTTCCAAAAGCACAGCTCATGCTCAGAAAATCGGATCCGGCCGCGACTCGTCGAGGCACCGTATTGGGCGCTGAACGCTAAAGACTTTTGCCTGAATAAATTTTTGCTGTTTGCCTTGTAAAACACGCTGTGATTGTGCAAATTTCTAACCTACCTGCTGCTATTTTTTCTATCGATTTTCACTAGAATTCAAAGCGAAAACGTACATTTGAAGCCGGGAAATCACACAAATTTCCAGCTGGACAAAACGGCGATACGGGGTGGTGGTTCTGGTTCGAAACGCGGATCCAGCGAGAAAACTGCTGGCTCAAAGAAGGTGGCGAAGCCGGGCTCAAGTGAAAAAGCCGGTGGCTCGTCGAAGAAAGCAAAGTCGGGTTCGAGTGAAAAAGTTGGTGGCTCGTCTAAGCAAGCAAAGCCCGGACCAAGCGAAAAAGGCAGCGGATCCACGAAGAAAGCCAAGCCGGGCTCAAGCGAAAAAGCTGCTGGTTCGGCGAAGAAACCAAGGTAAGAAATATACATCTGACTTCATATTAATACAAAAACTTCAAATAAATATTACTACCTCAATTTTTAGTCCCAAAGTCGTAAGCCTAAAGAAGTCGGGCTCGAAGGAATCAATGCGGAACAAGCTCGCTGCTGCAGCCGACGCGCGGGATCCCTCGAAAAAGAATGTGGGTTAACTGAAGCCCCGAAAACTAACGAAAACTTTTGTTACCAGTATTACTAGCTATTTGAATAGTAGTTTGAGTAAAATTTAGCTATATTTCAAGTGAAAAACCATTTGGAAAACTTCAAAAATGTTCCTATTTGAAATAGTCGATATTTTTGCTTTTTTCATAGATTACGTTTCTGTTTGTAAAATCATACTTTTAAAACGATGAAACCAGAAAACTTTAGAAAATCGCATCCGGTCGCGACTCGTCGAGGCGCCGTATCGGTCGCTGACTTCGACTTATGAAACGCCTGCTAACTCCTTCTCCTTTCGAATAAATTGTTGCATCTCCGCTTGTTCTGCGAAAAAACCCACACTCTTGCCTATTTCCATCACAATTTGAATAAAGGAAGAAAATACCGGAGGGATTTGGATTTACATGAATATCCACCCCAAAAAGCCTCAAAAAAACCTAAAAAAATATCACTCGACACTCGCCCGCGATGAGCCAGTCGGCGTTCAACGTGCATCTGCCCCTCGGCACCCCCACCGTCGACCAGTTCCTCGGGATCCCGCCCCATCCGACCAAGTGCCAGGCGACGTACATCTGGATCGACGGCACCGGCGAGAATCTGCGCAACAAGACCCGCACGCTCAACACGAGGCCCGTCAAGGTGGAGGACTACCCGATCTGGAACTACGACGGCAGCTCCTGCGGCCAGGCCCAGGGCCGTGACTCGGATCGCTACCTGAAGGTCGGGGTTTTCAACTTGATAAATTCTTTCTAAAAGGGGTAGGCTAGAGGCTAGTTGGTACTCTTAACCGGGGGTGAAAACCTGAATTTTAAAAAAATGGATTTTTATCAAAAATTCAAATTTTCAACCTATTTTGATTTTTTGGTATTCCCAAACTATTGATGCGAATAGTGAAAGCTACGCCAACGCCATTTATATGACTTACACTTTTGTTAAGTTATGAAAGTTCACTAAAAATTATTAGAAATGTCGAAAAAGTATGATTTTTCAAATTCGAAGCTTTTCTGAATAATTTTAACTAACTACGAAAATACTTAAAAACTACACGGTAAACAAAGCTAAAGTTTTAGGAGTAATATTTCTTGGCATAATAAGTCTTTATCCTCTGTAGTACACCCCCCGCCACAAAAAGCCCGAAACCCTACAAAACCCATTTTCAGCCTGCCGCCGTGTTCCCCGACCCGTTCCTCGGTGGCCACAATGTGCTGCTCCTGTGCGACACCTACGATCACTTGATGAAGCCCACTGGTAGGAGCAGCCCGAGCAAAAAGTGAACCACTTTCACTTGCAGCCACCAACCATCGCGCCAAGTGCAAGGAGATCATGGACAAGGCCGCGGCGCACAAGCCCATGTTCGGCATGGAGCAGGAGTACCTGATGCTCGACCGTGACGGCTACCCGTTGGGCTGGCCGAAGAACGGGTACCCTGCACCGCAGGGTATAAGAAGCTTTTTAATACTTTACCAAAATGCAGGCCCGTATTACTGCGGCGTCGGCGCGAACAAGGTGGTTGGGCGCGAGATCATCGAAACGCACTATCGGGCTTGCCTGGCCGCCGGGCTGGAGATTGCTGGCACCAATGCTGGTGGGTCTGCCTGAAATTATCGCATGCCTATCGCAATCATTGGCTAAAGTTCGTTTATCCCCTGCCGGAAGCGAAAATGCTACTTTTACACCTACTTTCCCCAATCTGGACGACGTACCAGCCGTCCTTTTTCCAGAAGTCACCCCCGGCCAATGGGAGTTCCAGATCGGCGTCTGCGAGGGCATCGCGATGGGCGACCAGCTGTGGATCGCCCGTTTCCTCCTCCACCGTGTGGCCGAGCAGTTCGGCGTCATCATCTCCCTCGACCCCAAGCCCCAGGTGTGCCCATTGGCATGGCTTTTAGTGGGGTTACCTAGGTGACGATCGGCGACTGGAACGGCGCCGGATGCCACACCAACTTCTCCACCGAGACGATGCGCAAACCCGGCGGCATCGCCGCTATCAATGCGGTGGGTCTACCTGACATACTGCTCAGATCGCACAATTATAGGCCTGCGAAAAGCTCTCGAAAACCCACAAGGAGGACATGAAGCTGTACGACCCGAACGGCGGTCGTGACAACTTGCGCCGCTTGACTGGGCGGTGGGGATGAAACAACGGCATGCATCAATTGCTCCTTTGCTTTCAGCCACGAGACGAGCAGCGTCGACCTGTTCACCTATGGCGTCGCCAACCGCGGTTGCTCGGTTCGGATCCCGCGCCAGGTCCATGCCGATCAGATGGTAAGAATCGTGCGCAATTTGCAAAACTGCAATCGCTTGCAGGGTTACCTCGAGGACCGCCGGCCTTCTTCGAACGTCGACCCATACGTGGTGACGGCTTCCATCACTCGCTCCACGCTGCTGATGTGAATCCCCACTTCCAACACTTGAACCTGTTCCACAATTATACCTCCACTCGACGTTAAACTATGGTTTCAGTTGCCATCGAAATAAATCATTCGCAACATTCGTGTTGATTCTCCGGTGAACACTAGACAATTGGAAACCGAATTAGTCAAACTTTATCCTACCCGGATCAAGGAGCATCAAACAACTGAGGATCACTAGGAATCGAAAATTAGATGAAAGTGAAAATGTTAAGAGGTACGCTAGTGATCGCAAATTAACAAATCCACAGTGACGCAATAACGCAGCGGCCTCAAAGACCGCCGTATAGATTAACTCGGCGGACTCAAAGGCCGCTGTATAGATAACTATATGCTAGTGCCTTGGTCGGGGAAGAATGACAAACGGAATATTAACGGGAAATACTAAACAAGCCCTAAAGGGGGATATAACAAAGAAAGAAACATTCGAGTGCCAATAAAACGCTTAGAATCCGAAGCCGCCGCTGAACGCACCATTGCCCGATTGCGGAGTCGAGAAGCCGCTGAAGCCTTGGCCGAAGGATTCTAAGGAAAAATTTTAGAAAGATGGATGAAAACTCACGGGTGTTGTAATCCTGATTCATTTGTCGGAAAGACGAGGGGCCGCCAGCCGCCGGGTAACCGTAGCCCGACTGCTGCTGCTGACCATATCCACCGCCATTGCTCGAAGCGAATCCGGAATATCCGCCTGCGCCGCCGCGACCACCGCTGTATCCGCCATAGCCGCCACCACCTCCACCTTGGTTGAAGCCATTTGGAGCGGAGAAGTTGCGCCGAGGTCTAAGGAAAAATTACAGAAAAGCAACAATTCATACCCAGAGCTTCCGCGCATATTTGGGCGTCGCATGGTGACCGGGCCTGAAGAGTACTTCTGCAGCCACTCGGGAACATTTTGCTTGGCCTCGGTGAGGAGGTTCAGGATGCTGCTGGCCAGGGCGGCGTTCTAACAAACTAATGGATAAAGTGAAAGCATTATCACTAACCCGGTCATTGAAGAAGGATGTGGCGTAACCAATGTTGCCAGCGCGACCAGTACGGCCAATGCGGTGCACATATTCGTCGATGCAGGACGGGATGTCGAAGTTGATCACGTGGCGAACATCGGGGATGTCCAAACCACGCGCAGCAACAGCGGTAGCAACCTAAAACTTTAATAAGGAAGACAATATTTAATTACCAAAATAGGCCAGCTTCCGTTCTTGAAGAAATACAGGTTTCGCTCGCGCTCGGCCTGGTTGAGATCGCCGTGGATGGTGACCGCACGTACTCCAGAGCGTCCAAGGTACAGCGTTAAATCGTTGGCGTTGCGCTTGGTCTCGACAAACACCAGAGCCAATCCTTCCTCTAAATTTGGAGTTTGGATGGAAAATTTTTCGTACTAATTTTTCCAATCATGTCCATCAATTTGCCGCGCTTGTCGTATTCCTCCACCCATTCGACGTTTTGGACAATGTTCTCAGTCGTGGAGCCGACACGGCCGACAGTGACGTAGATGTAGTCGGGCCGGAGAAAATCGCGCGCAAGCGACTGGATCTCTCTTGGGAAGGTCGCGGAGAACATGGCCGTGGTGCGCTTCTCCTTCTCACGCAGGCCCAGCGCTTGAATACGACTGGAAAAAATTAATGCATATCAACCGACATCAGATTCCTTACCGGATCTGTGGCTCGAAGCCCATGTCCAACATACGATCAGCCTCGTCCAAGACCAGGCAGCGGACCTGGCCGAGCGACAAATAACCTTGCTGGACGACATCGATGAGACGGCCCGGTGTCGCAATAACAATGTGGCTGCCGAGGTTGAGCTTGTTGATCTGCTCGCGATAGTTTTCGCGACCTCCATACAAGATTGCGGTGTGCAGGTTGGTGCCGTAGCTGAACTTCACCGATTCTTTGTGAATCTAGACAGGCATATATGTTTTCTGAAAGCAAAAACCTGAATGGCGAGTTCACGCGTCGGGGCCAAGATCAATCCGACCGGGCGCTGGCAACGGCGATTGTTGATGTATTCGGGTCCAGGCAGATTGTCGATGCCACGTGCGAGGAACTTGTTGATCATTGGGAGCAAGAAGGCGGCCGTCTTTCCGGATCCAGTTTGGGCGCACGACATCAGATCGCGGTCGGCGAAGAGGATCGGCATCGAATGCTTCTGGACGGGCGTTGGCTTCGTGTAGCCGGAGCGCTTGATGTTCTCTTTCACCACATCGATACAGGCGGCGTCCGAGAACTGAAAATGGGAAGATTAGAAGGTAAGGAAGAGCACGAAGAGCAAGATATAAACGCGGAAAGCTTACATTCTCCAAAGGCGTGGGGACATCGTTTCCTTCGACCTTGACCGGGATCTCAGAGTACTTGTCGAAATTGATGCCGCCAGCGGAGGACTCAAACAGCTCCTTCTCAGTCAGCGTAACGCCGTAGAACTGCATTGAGGACGCCATGACTTACGACGAACCTGAAAAAAAAGTAGTTTTATCAAAACGAAGGAAAAACAGCAGGAAAACTGGGAAATCATGAAAAGAAAATGGAATTTCAGAAAAAAAGGCCGAAAATTCGGCGAACGGCCGCGTTAATCCTCTTGGGCACCGTAACGCGTTGGGGCACGTTTTAGCACCCGTCTCTGTTCAGAGTACAGGATCGGAATCGGAACTTTAAAAATAAATTTGCATAAAAACCTATAAAATCGTTTCCAACATCTAAAATATACATAAGTTGGCGCTTTTTATGACTTTTTGCGAAAAAATCGAGCATTTTCTATACTTGAGGCCGGTGTCCGGTGTCAAAAATATGCATTACGCGCCTATTCCTATTCTATCTCATCTAGTCGCAGGTTGAGTTTTTGCTTTTCAAGTATTACAAATCGCTTTCTAGCCCTGCCCTTTCTTTTGGGGCTGCTTTTCTCGGCACTGCAATGCGCCCGGAAGCGGAACGTGGTTGGTTGGCCCCGCTTTTTGGAAGGGCCGGTTTTGTAGGAAGAAGCTAGCGACGAGCAAGAGGCCCAGAAGCCGACTGGCCAATCTGATCGCTCGAAGAGTACGTTTTTGAAGTGTTTGGCGTTGTCTTAGATTTTCCGGAGTACTTTGCCTTTTAGGGGCTGCTCCCATCAAGGGTCGCCAGCCGGGAGATGTGTCTTCGAAAAGTGCCAAGCAGCAGGAGTAAAATAATCTAAAATTTGGAATTTGATAAATTACAGCAAAAGTGGTTCTTCCCGTCGGGCTGCAGCTTCGAAGAAATCGGTGAGCAATTATGAGCCCAAATAATATCTTTGGGCACTCCAGATAACCCCCCCCCCCACCCCCCCCCCCCCTTTTTGTTTTCCGGTTCTTTTTTTGTTTGGTTTTGTCTTACATACTATCTCCGCCAGAACAAGACGAACATTTTGGTATATTTTACAACTTTAAATGAATGAAAGAAACAGGGAAAAAAAAAGTCGGCTGGGGTGGGGCCGGGGGGGTTTTTCTACTTTACCTGAGTCTTACCTATCTTTGTTTAGGATACCGCTTCGGGCAAGAAGAGCGCGCCTGGCGGTGTCGGGAAGCCGTTGGGCGAGCAGAAAGTGGGGGTAGGCAGCAGTTGATTGATCTCTAGAAGTTATATTTTAGAAGTCGCAGCGGACGAAGAAGTCCGATTCAAGCCGAAGCACGAAGTCTGCAAGTTCCAAGTCGGCCAAGTTCAGGCAATGGATTAGCACCGGCTTTAGGAAGGGCGGCTCCGGCAAGGGCAAGAAGGAGCGGGGCTCCAATGAAAATGCGGTTGGTTGTTAGCCGTTTTCTTTAGTTTTTGTCCTTTTAGAGCGGACGCAGCGTCAAAAAGGGAGTCAGCCCCCGCGGCATGCTGTCGCTGTCGAGGAAGAAGAAGGTAGGAACGACATAACCTGAGAACGAACAGCACTCGATTTAGGTGGAAAAGACGGAATTGACGCAACCTCAGTCGCCTGCCACGGATAACACGCAGATCGACGATTTGCCCCCAGCCCCAGCTCCAGCCTCGAAAATGCTCACCGCCACCAGCCAGCAGATGGTGAGACAACAAGACTCGTTTTTAATGAATATACTGAATAACTAAATACTGAAATGAATATACTGAATACTTTCAGCCCATCTCCCTCCAGCAGCAGGCCTCGAGGTCCGCCTCGCCTCCGATCAATCCGGACCGTTCGGACACCCTCAATCCGAGCGTCATGCAGGCTCCTTCAAAGATGGGCAAGAAGCCGGGCGATTCCAAGATGGAAAAGCCGAAGAAACGCGGCTTCTTCGGATTCTTCTCGGGCAAAGACAAGAAAGCCAAGGAGAAAAAAGACGACAGCAAGAAGGGATCGAAGGTAAGTCGAATGCAAGCGCACAATTTCACGGTTTTTAGGAGAAGTCCGAGTCTCGCAAGGACAAGAAAGCCCGCGAGAAGAAGGAGAAGAAAGAAAAGGAGGCCAAGAAGAAACTCGAGGAGAAGGAGCGAAAGGAAAAAGCAAAGAAGGAGAAGAGCGCCAAGGGCACCAAGAGCAAGCGCGGTAGCAGCGAGAAGTCTTCGCTGAGCAAGTCGCTGAGCGGGAAGAACACCGTGGTCACAAAGTCCGAGCTCCAGACCGAGACGCCGCAATCCTTCTACACCTACTGAGCACTAAAGGTAATCTGGTTAGCCCTTTCCCAATAATAACTACATTTTTAGGTATGGACTTCCCCTACACCAACGGCAAAGACAACTCCACCTCCAAAGATATTCGGTTCATGTGAATAAAGTGTTGTGTGGCACGGTTACAAGTATAAGATGGAAACAACAAAGTTTATCAAGGATAACAAAAGATAGACAACAAATTGGGGGAAAACAATTCAAAAGGCCATCACGAGGTCGGGCTGGAAGCAGAAGTGGACAAGCTTGTAACCGGCCAGCTCGGATAGATGGTTGCAGACGCCCTGCTGCCAGCCGTCGAAGAAATCACCTAAACAACAAATTGCTCGAAATTGATTAATTCATACCAGTCGCTTGTGCAATGTCCTCTTCGCCACTCTTTAACACAGTGCGAACCAGGTTCAGCAGCGGCATAAGTTCTTGCGATTCCATATCATGACATTCGCCCTTGCCAGCGGCACATTTGGCGAGCTTATGCGTAAGGTAGACCACCTAAATCAAATGGTTGCATATAATAAGGTGTCTTACCGCGATCACCACCCCAATCCGATGCAGCTTGATAAACGCATCAATCAGGAATTGGCTCAAATCATGTGCCTGGATGGCGCTCTCGAACTGGTCGAGTATCTCCTCGCTCAACACACGCTAAAAACGATTTGGAAGTGAAAATTTGGATTGTTATTACCACAAACTCATGCGGGGTGAATCCGTTTGGTTGCTCCAGTGCAATACGGATTGCCTTGTACAGCCGAGGATGCTTGACGGTCCGCTTCAGATCGACACTGGTCTTGCCGACTGTCATCAAGGTGCGGAGGATCTTTGAGTGATACCTAAGAAGAAGATGTAGCTGAACAATCGGAACTTACACCAGGATCACGGCCCAGCATTTCACATCATCTTCATCTGTGGAAGCGAGCCCCTCGGTGATGAGCGCGTTGATACGCTGCATAATCTCAACCGATCGACTTGGATTTTTCTAAACGAACATCAAATTTAACAATAGAATTGTACCATGGACAGCAGATTATCGGCAAGTGCAACGTTCTTTTGGAATGCCGCTCTGAGCTGTGCAGCCGACCAATTAGTCTTGTGCACCGCTTCGAGCATGTCAAGCATTTTTGGGCCGGCTTTGAATGTCTAAAAGAATAATCCACGACTAGCAAAGCGGCTTACAAATGATCGAGTGCGTGTTGAGCTGGAGCTGGCAGATGTGGGGCAAGACTAAAGCAAGTTTGATTCGCGTTCAAACACAAACCTCTGATTCCTCCGCAGATGAATTAACGTGCCCGGGCGTCGCCACTGGCCTAGGAATCCACGGCTGACGCGGACTCGGCTGCGGTCGACGATAGTCTCCTCTCCTCGACTGGTAGGAACCACGCGGAAGGAAGTTGGAATAGTCCGAGTTTCCGCGCCGGCTGTAGCGTGAAAATTCTTGGCCATGGTTCGTTCTTCCGTCTTGATTGCTCGGCGACTGCGCAGTGAAGCCGGCCTGCATGCCGCCGAATCTGTCAGAGGCTTGGAATCGCGGTTCTGCGGATTGTCTAGATGCCAACGTGACAGAATCAGCAACATTGCACGGTTTGCCAGCGCGATTGGCGTTCGGGTCGAGTCCCACGAGAGCTTCCTCATCCATTATGCGAAGTATCTCCGCGTAGAGTTTCTAAAAAAAGAAGTATAAAATAATCGGCAAAATACCGGTGCAAGATCGTCGAGGCCACATTTGTGCTCGAGGCTGATTTTGTTGAGAAACTCGGCGATGCAGCCACAGACCTCGTTTGCGCTCGTGTCGACTTTCCCCTCAGAAGCCATTGCGGCAAGAAATCCCTCGCAATGTCCCCTGTACGAGAAAAATATTGTGGCAATGGAGATACTCACTTGACAAGTGCTTCCGAGGAATTAAGAGCAGCCCATCCGGTGAAATATAATGCGTTGCGAAGCTTCAGCGCCGCTTTGAAGTCTCCGCTATCTTCGTCTGAACCTAAAATCCAACAAATTAGAACGAAGAGCCGGTGTACCGGTATCGTCGACGAGAAGGAAGAGCGTCTCTTCTTGATTCGGGTATTTCGCGAGGAACTCTTTTGCCTAAAAATCATGATAAGTCTAAACAAGTTTCAAGCACCTCTAGCCTGTCATCGCAAAAATGAATGGCGAGTTTGCGCCGGTGCGGAATCTCCGGGTCCAGGTAGTCGTGGATTTTTTGGGAAAACTTGCTGAAACAATTTCTTTGTAATACGTCGGAAATGCTTACGAGAACGCGTCCTCGCTGAGCTTCTTCGTTTCGGAGCCGATGCGCAACACTGCGAAGGTAGAGACGGTCTAAAAACTTTATCAAAATAAAATATTTTGCACCTCAAGCTCGCATTCTAGAGCGACGGCCTCACGGATATCTCCCCAGCCGTCATCGTCGTTTACAGACATCTTGCGATTGCCAGAAATCGGAAAGATGAAGTTTTCGTCAACTGTAACGCAAAAGATCGCAATTTTGGAAAACGTAAAACTCAATAAAGCTAGAAATTTACCAAACTGACAAAAATCGTTTTGAAAATTATTGCTACGCATCACACCGCGGCAAAACGCCTGACGTAGTGTGGATTGTTACGTAGCTTTTTCATTTTTATTTTGCTTCAAACATTTTTAAAAAGTTATTAAAAAAAACAGAAAAATTGTAAAAATGATAATAGAAACTACAGGCACTTTTGTGAACTTTTGCAAAAGGTTTTCACGCTCCCCAGGGTTATTTTCTTCGTCGAATTTACAAAGTGTATTCCCCGCCTTTCGACGTGCACATCATATCAACCATAACCTTGTTCACGTTATGCAACAGGGCAAATTGTCGATTCTCTTCTCACCACCGGCTGACCTGATCGTCGGGGCGGAGGGTGAGGGATTATATTAGATCTTATCGCCACCCATCAGATCCACGAGCCGCTGACCTTCCGTCTGTGTATAGATTGCCTGGGCAAGTTTTTTTTACCTTCTTCCTCATACTTTATAACTAAATCACTAACTTTTTTAACCCATTTCTCCGCTCCATTTTTGAAGATCTCATTTTAGCCAATTTCAAACTATCTGCCAAGATCCTTATCTTCCTTTTACACTTTTAGCCAATTCTCCACTTAATTTTTTGAGGATCTCATTCCCGGCTCGTAATTCTGAATTGGCAAGCCCCAGTCGGCGCGCCGAGGGCTCAGGGCCGTCATTTCTAATCTGGAAGTGGGCCGAAAAAGCCGCCAGCCTTCTCGCGGGCCCCCCACAAATTTCAATCTGCCACCCAGGCAGCCTCCGGAAACGCGGCGAGACGAATTCATTGCCCGGCTCGAGGGTTTGGTTTTTTTTTGGCTCATGCCATCCGCTTAATGGGCTTTTTTGGTCGTAAAGAATGTTGCATGGAGGTTTTTAGGAAACGAGGATGCCGTCTTTAGTATTTCCAGAGCCGGGACCGAGTTTTTCCTTTGGTTCTATTGATGCAAAGTACGTAATAGTCAGTTTTTTTTTTAGTAAAAGTTGGCTATATTTCAAGCGGATACTTGTTTAGAAAAGTTTATAAACTCCAAAATGCTGTTTTTGCCAAAAAAAATCGGCCGTTTTTATCTGAAAATCGTTCTTTTTAGCATTGTTTACGCAAAATGTGCCAAGTTTTTACGTTAAGAATAGTAAAAAACACTATAAAAACATTATCTCTACATAGATTTAGACAAACCAGATCCTAATGGATCCCCCCCGATAATGCCCAAAAGCTCTTTTTACGCGAAAAGTTTGCCAGTGAAAGAGGTGGCAAGGATGAAACTAAACCCCCGGGGTGGCGTTAGGAGACACATTCCCATATTCGGGCGGGCGCGCGCTCCCTTTCTAATGCAAATTTGAGAGGGCGAGAGCCCCCGATTTTTGCGTTGTGCTAGACACGTGTTTTTGGGGGTGAGAAGCCATCGAGAAGATACAATGCCGAGTTTTTTCGGGTGTTTCGGGGCATATTCGAGTAGCGGCGGCGGGTGATACCAAGTGCCCCACACGTTCCCACGCACGCATCGGCGTAATTTGAGAAATGTTGACACGGACCGAGAAAATGCCCGCGGGGGTTTCTTTTGGCAGTTCTTTCAATGAGCTTCTTTTTATACGTTTTTTGTACTTTTGCATTATCGGGGGAAGGGGGGTTCTAAGGCTCGAATGTTTCTAATATGGTTCTTTCAATGAGCTTCTTTTTATGTTTTTTGGTTCTTTTGCATTATCGGGGGGGGGGTCTAAGACCCGAATTTTACGTCTCTAAGTTTTTTACTAACCCGTAACGTAAAAATTTACAATTTTCATCAGCCAAAGCCCAAAAATTTTGATTTTTGGCCCAAAATGGCGGATTTTCGACTAAAATTTTAATTTAAAAACCTTTGGTACGTTTTTTAGTGTTCTTTCCACACGAAAGATGACCTACCCTTTAATCCACCATTACATTACTAGCCATTTCTGGAATTATAGGACAGACCCCCCGATAATGCGAAAGCTCCGAAATTTCTTTTTTATTGAGCTTTTTTATATATTTTTGATTCGTTACTACCTGGCAACAGCAGAAAAGGGGGGCTTCTCGAAGACAACAGGAAATTGGCCGTTACGGGCAGAGGGGTGGGGGCATTTTGTGTGCGCGATTTTGGGGGGTTGTACGAATTTTTGATTTAATTGTGACCATTTTAATATCAATAGCGGAAGTGTTTCTAAACTGTTTTAACTATTTCTAAACGTAAAATACTTTACAAGCTTTCAATAAAAAAATACAAAAAAATATCGATTTTCGAGCAAAAATGGCCGTTTTGACCAAAATTTCGAATTGTTACAATTTTTTCGAGGTTTTAGATAGTTTTTACATAGGTTTTCCGTTTTCCAGTAAAACCGTAGGGTTTTCATTTTATTTAACACTCCGGTTTTAATTTTATAATAATTGTTTAATCGTAGTTTAATATCTTTTAATCAGCTTTCAGCATCTAGGTCATCGCCAGCGTTTGATATTTCCTGAAAAGTGCAAATTCCCCGAGCGGCCAGCCATCAGCACCAAAATCTGCCTTCCGCGCCTCCCCAGAGAACATCTGGGCTGCCCCTCAAAAAACGCTTGCTAGCG